AACTGAGTACTAGCCAATTAGTTAAAAATAAAATTTTAAGCTACATTATATCTTTAAAAGAAATGTTGGTTCATCACTCTAAGACGGAAAAATGTCATTATATTCCTTTGAAAACTCGGCATGTGAAATAAGGTAACCGAGTCGATCTCCCTTATCGGAAGTACAATAAGAGTGGAACAAAATAATAATTCAATTTTTAATTAATAATAAAATTCCGTCAGTATTTCCAGAATTATTTTTTTTTAATTAATTTCTTTCATTGAATTATTTTCTTAAATTATAATTATTATTTTAAGCTATGAAACGATAATTTAAATAGAATTAAAAGAATTTTGAATAAATCTAGTATTTCCAAAAACATGAGAAAAAAATGGAGTCAATGTATAACATCGCGATTCCATTGTCTCAGTTTTATCAGTTATACTTTAGGTGCTATTTGGCGCTACTGAACAGACTTGAATAATTTTCTTCATTACAAAAACTCATTTTACGCATTCTCATCTAAAATTTTTTTAAAAATTTTCCTAAACATTGTATTTGATTTTTCAATATTGGTTAAAAAAAAAAATCAAAGTTTACAATATCACGAGTATGTTTTGACTTTTAAGTTTCTTTTCTTTCTTTTTACTTCATGATTGCTAAATAATTTCATTATAATATTACGACAACTGTTTAAAAACTCTTAAGCTTCTCAATTTTAACTTAATGAATCTAAATTTAAATCCCTTGTCACCAGTATTCCAAAGTTACCACAAAAAAAAAGGAAAAATGTAAATAAATAAGTAGGAAAATTGAAAGTAAGAAAATTGTATTTAGACACAATTTGCATAAATTTATTCCCCTTAAACAAAAAACCAAAATGCGAAAATGTCCTTAAATCTTATCTTCTTATTCTTTCTTTTTTTTTGTTTATTTGGTTGTTTTTGAAAAGCCCTCCCATCACTTACCTATTATTATTTTTTTTGCTTTTTCTTTAGTAAGTTGGTATAGGTAGTACACTGTGAATATTCTGAAAACAATACTGAAAAACTCTACAATGACATCGCGTAAATTATTTTTAACAAAAGCAACAACATTTTCATTTCATACTTCGACGTCGTACGTTGTTACGTATAAAATAAAAGAGAAAAAAGAACAAAAAATCTACACAAAAATCATTACAGTGAAAATGAGAACAAAAAATTAGAAAAACAAAAGAGCAAAATGAGCAACAGAACAATAATAACATAGAGGCAAATAAAATGAAAAGAAATGAAAAAATAAAATCATAAATCGAAAGAAGATGATAGAAAGAGATAGTAAGATGAGTAGAAGAATTAATGATATTATTTTCTAACGGGATTTCAACAATCGTTTATACTTTTTTCATTTTTCTTTTTTTTTTATTTCTATTCAGCAGAAGGACATTATGTATTTCTTTTCTTCATTTTCTATTAAAATCCATTATAGCGTTTCCATTGAGTTTATTTCTTCATACAATTCTTATGATTATAAGTAGAAATGCGTATACATTTACAGTTTAAACCTCATTCCAAATCTTTCTTAATTTTACATTGCCTTACTTTTTTCCAAAAAAAAAAATAAGAAACAAATTAAACAAGAACAAAAAGTATCATAAAGAGTGTTCACATTAACGAAGAGAAAAATTCTTTCCGATTTTTGCGTTTTTATTTTATTTTTGGTCTGTCGTGTTCACAATAAAACGGAAATAAATTGTACTAAACAATGTTCAAAAAACAAAAAACAAAAAAAATAACGGAATGTGTTCCATTTCCTTTTGTAATTAAATCTTTGAGAAAAATGTGTAGTCGTGAAGAAAATATAAATGAATCTCAACATAGTGGTGTAGAAAAATAAAAGGAAATTTAAACAAATGATAGAAAAAGACAAAAGAATGAGGAAGAAAAAAAGGATGAAATCAAATGAAACAGAAATATACCTTACACTACTTACTCATTCATTATTATAAAACACTCATCATTTCGAGAGTCAAATATGCTGTTGGATGCTTTTAACGGTACTTGAAAATTTTATAAATTTTTTTTTTATTTTTTTTTTTTCTATACTTTTTCGATCTTTGCTTAAATTAAACCATTTTCCAGGGGTATTTTCTAAATACGTAATATAAGAATGTGGAGATTTGATAAAAAAAATTGTTGGTAAGAGTGTTAGAATTAGATGAGAACCAGGACAAAAACAATAACAATGAAAAGTTATCACTTTTCCTTTCTGGTTAAAATTTTTACCACATCATAGAAAGCAAAAAAGAAAAGAAAGAAAGGCGAAAAAAAAAACAAAAACAAAAATATTGTAGGTAAGGAAATTAAAAGAGAGAAGAAAAATTTTGCAGGAATAAAAAAAAAATATAATTTTTTTATATGAGAGCATAAACATGTTTGCTAGGATGGAGCAAAAATTTATTCTTTGATGTTTTTTTGAACAAAAACAAAGAAAAGTTTTGTTAACAATTTTTCAGTGAAATTCAAAATACTGACTCAGTTTTGATTGTATAAGTAGACTAAGATGTGCAGTTGTTTAGGAGTGCTTCGAAGCTTATTATTACGAAAATTGAAGTGGTCAGAATTAATAAAACAATAACTTATCTTAAGGCCCACAAAAAACTATGTTCGAAGGCCATGTCTTTCTTAGACCGGAAAATAATAGCAAGTGCAAAATAATTTTTTTTTCCAATTTTTGATCCACATTTTCGACGCTCCAAATGATGGTGTAAACAGTACTAAAACGGTTATTAAAACTATGTCACGCAATACACAAAGATGTGGAAATTTTATGAGAACTGGTTAGAGATTTTTTTTCAGTTAAGAGTTGGCCGTCTACAAATTGTGAGACATTTGAAATTAGTTCTCGTGGTAAAACCATAACAGATCACATAATTAAAGATTTTGGGGGAATAACCTATAAAATAAAATTTGGTTTTATTGTAGGATAATAAAAACTTCTAACATTCGTTTAGAAGTGACTAGCAGATGCGGACATTAAAAGACCAAAGAAGAAACGAAAAACTTCTATACACGTAATGTATGAAAACATTATTGTTCCAGTACATTCAATTATGAAAACTTTATGAATAAGATTTTCAATGACGCAAACATTTAGTTAATCGCATTCAATTTAAATTTTTCGAATAATGAATTTGTACTCCATCCTGTATTCTGTTATATTGAAATTGTTTTTTTTTTTTATTTGTATATTAAAACTAAACCTTTTATAAAGATAATGTGTGTATGTTTTTTTATTATGAACTTAACAATAATTTTTTTTGGAATTCAAGCAAATGAAATAATATGGAAATGTTACATGAAGTGAAACATCACATATATAGTCTGTTACTTTAACGTCATAATATTCTGTGGATATGAGGCACAAAAATACAAGCTGTTAACGTACATATTTAGCAACTGTAATGAAAACATTTTTGTTTTTTTTTTCCTGTTTTTGTTTTCGTATTCACTCAAAGTCACATCCATAATCAAATATAGCAAATGGCGTTGGTACATACATACATACATATTATATTTGTTGCTTATTATTATTTTTTAGCTGTTGAATGAAAGACATATCGAATTATGTAATGTAGATGGACCGTTTCATTACATGATAATAATGTGTGTTGTTATTTTCCAGATTTCCTTTATCATTTCCGTTTTTTTTAGCATTTTTACAACTTTCTATCTGTTTTTGTTTTGCGTGCTTTTTATTATTCTACTCAGTGTTACAAATATAGATTATGTGAGTGGAAAATATTTTTTTTTTTTTTTCATATTACACTAAAGAAGGTGATGATGATCATTGTAATATTATAATGAACTTGCATGTAGAGTAAAAATGTGCTAGGTTGACATCATAATATGTAAATTTTGTCTATTGCATTTTGAAATATGGAAACTTTTTTCCAGATGTACAAATATACGCAAGATGACGTACAAGTGAACGCACTTTTAAAAAAAGTATGATAGTATAAATTATTTATAATTTGTGGAGTTTGTATAGATGATTTCCTTGTAAGTTTCCATAAATAGGTTGAAGTAATTAAGTGTTAATGTGTTTCACGATTCATGAAAAAGAATCTAATAAAAATTCTGATTAAAAATTTTGTGGCTATTGAATCAGACAATTATAATCTGCTCAGAATATCAGAAATATTTCAATGAAATTAAAATATTTTTTGGTAAAATTAGGTTTGTAAAGGATTATATAACATTCTATACTGGTATTACAAAGTCATAATAATTACTTTTTAAAATTTACTTAACAATTTAAAAAAAATTCAAAAAAAGGTTTTGTCTCCGTTTTCTTCCTCTAAAACAAAAGTGTAATTTAAGCGTTAATAATATTATAAAACTAAATTTCACATATAAAAAGATTCTTTGGTCAATTTTAGCACTGTTAAAAATAGAAACTTAATATTGTAAGGCGAATTTTTGTGAAGAATCAATAAAATAAAACTATAATTAATTAGTATAATAAATACTAAGTTAAAGAGCTTTGAAGCCGATTGTGAGACTGCGACGTCCTTGTTTTCTAACTTAAATCGCAGTTAGTTTTAAATAAAATCTGTAATTATTTTTAATAATACTATAGTATTACGGCAAAGGAATTTTAGATTTTATTTAGTAAGATTTTATTTAGTATTTAAAAATATTTGAAAAATTGAAGATATTTCTGATCTTAATAACTAATTCAAATCAATGTTTTAGATTTTAGAATAATTTATACAATATTGTATTACAGTTTTAGAATTTGTAACAATAAAAAATTTTTACAAATTTTAATAATGATTCATAACAAATGCAAATTCCTATTCTCTTATTCCCTTTTTAATTTTTCGGAGATTTTTCATGTTCTATTCAAAAAAGTGACCTTTCTTTGTACATATTAGAACAACAGAAAATTAATATTTTCAAAATTAAAAGAAATTTTATACCTGAAATATAAATATAGTAAATTCCTTAGTACAACATGCAAAGCAATTTACTTACCCAAAATTTCCACTGTATGCGTTATTTCACGCGGTTCTAACATCGCTATTTGACATATATAATCGCCAGCATCTTGTGGTACAGCATCCCTAATTTGCAAGTTAAATCCATTAACCAATTTGACACGAGGATCTGGTGTAACTTTAACTAAACCAGCTGATAAAATTGCAATACCACGTTTCCAGGCTACAACATATTCAGCTGAAAAATAAAAGAGAAAAATAAAACAAGGATATTAATTTGAATAAATACAACAAAAAAAAACAACAAATTTAAATAACAGCATTATTGATATGGTTGGGATTTTTTTTTTAACAATTATTTTAAATTTTTTCTATTTTTGTTTCGGTCGGTCGGTGTATAACGTGAATAAAAAGAACAAAAATATGAAATTTATTCTTATCTTTTTTAGTGTTAAAATTTATGTAGTTTTATTTGGGATTTATTTAATTTTTTTTTCTGCATATTGTTAAGTTAGGTACTCGAATATATACACAAAACATATTAGTTCATTTATGTAAATATTTTACAAGGATATGTTTTGAATTTAAATTTATTTGTTTGTTGATAATATTTCGTTGGTAAAATTTTGCATAATTTTATATCAAATAGAACATAAATTATAATGTTTTTATATACAGAATATAGTAGGTACTACATACAAGTTCATAATTAAAAAAAAATATTAAAATTTCCATATTGTTATTTGGAAAATTTTTTTATTTTATTGAATTAATGATAAAAGTGTTGGCGGAATTTGACTATTTCTTGTTTTGTTGATATTATAAGTGAACGAAGAGGAAATTTTGGATTAAAATAGTTTTATTTAATTTAGGGTTGCCGCAGACTGTGTAAATACTGATAGTGTATAGGTTTTGACAGATTCATTCGAATTTAATGTAATTTATTCGAACAAAATGAAAAATACTTTGGCTATTATATTCTTCACTTGATATCTCGCTCTCACCCAGAATTTTAAAGTTAATTTTTCTTATGTAAAAATTAGGTATGAGCCTTACTTATGTCATTTCGCATTAAGTCGTAAATTTTCGGTTCCAAAAGCGATTTGAAGCGAGGTGTTATCGTACTTGCAAAAACAATTATTTAGTTAGCAGAAATACTTTGACCTTTATTAAGACCTTTAAACTGCGGAGTAAATGTGCAGTAATTTTGCCAATAGAATATTTCTGAGAAGTTTAGTTTGCGTTAACGTCAAATTATTATTAGAAATGCATAACAATTATTCACAATATTCACATATTGTAGTGACAATATTCGATTTGATGAAATTCATAAGTTGGATTCACATTTGAATGCCTCAATTACAATATTGATTATGTTCAAATTGTGTTCAGTCAAATATCTTTAACAACAAAACAACTTTTAAATTCGCTGGCGATTCCAATCATATATAATTTGTAATTAAAATATTTTCAATGTTTAAATTTAATGCTCGGCAACATGAGATCTCTATAGATTACAGCACATTTTTCTAAAAAGAATTTTGTAGTTATAATCTCACGTTGTAATGTTTTAAACCACATTATAAGTGAGGAATAGGAAAAAAATTATTTATTAATGACGTATATTACGTATATTTAAGAAAGAAATCCATAAAATATATTTTCCAATCCAATTTTCATTTTTTAATCTTAACCAAAAAAGAGGAACAAAAATCTAATTATTTGCGATTTTTTGCATTTTTCATTTAAAATTTATGCAACAATCAACTTTTTTTATATCACATTTGATGCGTGCAAACATAAAGCAATAAAAGGAAATAAATTTATAAATGAATCATAAAGGGAAAATATTTTTATGATTGCAAATTATGAGTGAAACCAAAAAAAAATATTAATAAATAAAACAAAGCTAAAATTCTTTATTTTTTTTTTTTTATAATGCAATATTCAATATCATAAATCATTAAAATCCATTATCCTTTAAAAGCATATGAACATCAATTTCATACTTATATTCACATGTGTCCACAAAAGTTGAGTAACAAAAATTATAAAACAAAAAAGTTCATTCAAAAGAATGAATATAAAAATTTCGATTATCAATATTAAAAATATAAATTAAATTTTGTTATTATGGAATTACAATCCATTAAAATCTATAAAAATATTGAAAAATATTTATAATTCTGCTATATTAATAATCGTCAGCAACTTCTCTCATTTTATGTGTGTACTGATGGCAACTTTAACGCCTTAAAAAAATATGAGTTCTTTTATATGGGTGTTTTTTTTTCTCATATTATTGTTTTAAATTTTTTTTATCATATTAATTTCGAAGTGAATTGCAAATATTAAGAGATATAGAGATGTTCATAAACGCAATACAGCAGCAAAATAATAACTTCATTTTTAATGCAATATATTTTTGACATTTAGCAAAAAATATTTATTAAATTTGTGTTTATAAACAAATGTTTCTAATCTTATTTGTTCATAAAATTGCAAAGTTATTACAGTAAAATAGTGAAATTGTACAGTGAAGTACCGCAGTCAAATCATAGAAATTGTGCTGTTTTTTTCATAGAATAGCAAAAAATATATTGCATATTCATTCACAAATGTGATGCAATTTGCAGTTATTGTTTTGCAGAATTGCTATTATGACAATTGAGTTTTCGAAGCCCCCTTCTATATAAAGTGATAAGATTTATTAAAAAAAATAATGATAAAAATAATTCCTCTAGAATAATTTTGTTTTTAAAGTTCAATTAGTATTTTATATCAAATTTAGAGTATATTTTATGTAATGCATAAATATAATATCGATTTATTGGGAAAAATATTTTTAAATTTATTAGATTTTTTCCATTCCTTGTTTAATGAAAATTTTATTACTATTGGTAATTTGATAAAACTTTTTTTTTCAAATTATTTTAGCATTAATAGCAACAAATTGTATTTTAAGATGATATGTGCTTTTAGGGACCGTTTTAAGTGTAATTGGAGCATAATATTGTATACAAATACTTATTGATAAAATAGTTGGTTTGAGCCAAAATTACGATTCAGGTAAAATTTATTAAGCCCAAGAAACTGAAGCAATAGCTTATTTTCAATTAAAAACCGTTCACTTCAATTTCGAATATTTTTCTGCAAAACTCGAAAATCACAATTCCATGAATATTTTTAAACAGACACTACAGACTCATTTTGCGTATATAATCGTGTACTTACATTCGTTCAAAAATAATATTTTCTCAAAATGATATTTTTGTTAGTAGGCCACTAACGATCTCCTTGTACTCAAATTACCTTAACCTGAATTATAAATAATAAATATTGTTTACAAGTTACGAGACATAAATAATATCCTCCACTTCTTTTCAACAAATATATAAGAATAAACCTTGTATTACATCTCCTCCTCTCATCGTAACTTAGTTTCCACTTTTTATCATTCTATTTATTGTGTTGATATTCTTTAAACTTTTTTTATAATTCTTATGCAATAATAATTTTAATTGCTAATAAAAGGCGCAAAAATGAATATTATTATATATGTACATATTATGTATGAATGTATGTAGAAAATTTATTTTCTAAAAGGATATTCTTCCCCATCTGCTAATATTGAAAAAAATGTTGAGAAGGGGAAAAAAAGTTCACATAAAAAATTTTACAACTAAAAAGAAATTTCATATTTTTTTCCTCATTTCCCAGCTTACTTCAAATTTCCTTTCTGCTGAGGCCTAGTTTTTCATGGTCATATGTTACATTAAAGTGAGTGGAAATCTTAAGAAATTTCATAACAATTTATTATATTTATTTGTGTGTGAGGTGTACGTGAAAAAAATCTGTAAAAAAATAATTTATTGTATAATAAGTATAAGATGGTTGTACTTCAAACGTAAAGAAAATCTGATGTGTTCAGTACATAACTGATTTCATTGAACGTTGTCTGAATAATTTTCACAAGTCCTTGATTATTTTATTTCAACTTTTAAGAAAATTGGTTAACCTTCTAAACACAGATTAAAAAATGTTAGTTTAGTGGAAAATTACAATAATCAACTATAAAATTCGAATATTAAATTTTAAGAAATTCATGATTTGTTTTCTTTTTTTTTTTGTTGGTTATGGTTCAAAATATAAAATTGATTTTAAGTAAAAATTTACTAAAAACCAGGAAAGTTGCATAAAATTTGCAGGAAGACATTGGTTATTTTCTTTAGCCCAGTTACTGGCATTGCAACTGATTTTACTGAAAAGTTTGTTGTTTACGTCATTTTTGGAGATAAATTTCATAAGTTTATCAATTATTTTCTTAAAAGTGATTAAAAATTCAAATCTGTTCTATTGAGACCTGAAATAACCCAAAAAAATTTTATCATTTCTTAAATATATATATATAACTTGTATCCTTTTCAGAGAGAAATCCGGTAAAAATTCGAGATTGTTAATTTTGGTGTGATAACAATACCCCCATTATTGTAATTCCGGTATCTAATTCGATCAGGGAAAACAATCAAAAAGAAAGATAAAAAATTCAAGGAAATTATGTACTGTAATGAAAAGTTACTTTGATTATGTTCGAAAAAATTCGAAAATAGAAATATAGCAATTTGGTTGAAATCAAGTTAAAGTTAGTGAAATTGCAATATTTAATTATTTTAAGAGTTTATGTTCTATTTTGCTCGCAATAGAATCTAGCCTATAAATAGTGTTGATCAAATTGTTTCCAACCCCTGTATAGCTTATAAATTAGAGATTTCAATATAAAATTCGAGTACAAATTACAAGTTCTACAAGTTCTTTACAACATTTTTTTAAAAAATATTCTACAATTTCTTTGCAATTATTTTTATTCTTCGCTTTTACATCAATTACATTTTAAATAAAGAGGTTTAAAATAAGAGGAAATGTAGTTAGTGTTTTCCTTCTTTTTGTTGTTTAACATACCAACAGCATTGACAGTTAGTTTTATTTTAAGTTGAAATAAAAAACAATAAAAAAACACGAACTTCAATATAACGAAATTATGTCACAAAATAAGATTTGTTTTTTTTTTTTTGTTGTTTTACGGTTATGTTCTTCAATAAAAAAATGTACATTTTAAAAAACATATTCATAGAATTATTGAAGAAAAAAAATATTTTTATATTGCCTTTTTTATACACGAGAATACAAAATTGCGAATAAAATTGTACTTACTTATCTACATACATATATGTTTGTTTG